TAGATGTGGACACCACAAAACAGAAAATTAAAACGTCATTCTGAGCCCCTTAGTATCTATCATACAAACCTACTTCTTATGTAACTCCTGTTATTTTCATCTCCTACTTCACTAACACAGCTACTAACATAGCACCATATATTTATTTTGTAATCATGAACTCACGAAATAGCAAAGTATGAATGATCTGAAGCCTGTGACAACTTGATATTTGCATCAAATTGCTATCTTCCTTTATTTGTTTGTTTGTTTTGTTTGTAGTGCTTAGAATTAAGCCAAGTGCCTCAACATGCAAGGCAAGTAATCTAACTCTCAAGCATGTTCCCTGGCCTTGTCTGATTTTGCTCTACACTACTGAATAAGATAAAAGTTTACTGTTGGGCTGAGGACTTCAAGTTGAAGTGTGTTCTCTTCTGACTGGGATTTTTCACAAGAAACCATGATCCAGTCCTAACTGGCACCATTTTTTATTGTTAGGTAGCTAAACTCAACTCAGTTTGAGCCCCAGGATATTGGATGGACTACTGACTCTTTGACAAGAAACCCAATTCATTAAATGTCATTAAAAATAACAGGAAACTCAGCCAACCAAACCAATATGCATGTGATAGAATACACATCACAGACAACAGGGCAGCAACCTGTGTGTGGCTCATCAACAACAGAGCTCACTTAGAACACAGAGAGGTGCCCTTTCCTCTCACCATTCAGGCTGGAAAGGATGAATGCGAAGTCCCAGACCAGAAATACCCATTGTGAGTTCCTCTCTCCCCTATTTCAGAGAGGTAACCATGCATCTCACCTTCACTGTCCATGGACTCATGACACAATCTGACTTCTCTGCAAAGAGAACTTGCCAGTATGGGTTTGTGTGTCCTTAAGCCTGTTTTGAAGAAGGTTATATGTGCAACCAAACACAGCATCAGTGTCCAGAGACCAGTTGAATTTCAGTTATGAGGTTATATTTGTGGGCAGAATGAAACAGAACCAAACTGTGCACCTGCCACTGAGGAAGCTCAGCAGTCATTCACATGGACACTGAACCTAAGAGTAACAGGCTCAGGCAAGGAACCAGCCAGCTTTGTTTTCTGGAGAAAATACACAAGTGTCAACTGACTTGCCATTACATCCTCAAATCAAAGACCAAGCTTTTCATTTTCCATGTACCCATGGTACAAAATTCACCAGCTAGAAAACTGTCAATCATGGACAACCTTTTCTACCATAATCTAGCAGAACATCTTCAGCGAGGATTTCAGAAAAGGCATCTCCATATTGGCCACACAAAACAACAAAGTGTGTTACTTCATGTAAAGGCATTCACATTAGAGGAGATATCTTCAGTGACAACATCAGCTACTGGGGTTTGCAAATTGGATTGTATAAAGTAAATAGAACTCAATTAACTGGAAAGCGTTAAGGTCCAAAATCATGTAATCCTTTGCTACTTCTGTCACTGATTAGCACTAATGTGGCCAGTTGGCATTTAAATTAATCCAAATAAGAAATAACGGCAATGTCACTACTGATAAGAGAGGCCTGGTACAGAAGGCTTGTGGAAAAAGACTGTGCACACCTGAACACTGAATGCTTCTGGCACTAACCTTGGCTACAACAGCAGTAAGGAATGCCTTCTTGCTGCTATAGCAGCAAGGCAACAGTGGACAGCCTTGCTGATAATCACTGGTATGATGGGAGTTCAGTCTGTACAGGAGTGGGAAAAGAGAACTCCCACTAGGTCTAGGAGAAATCAGCCACTGCCTTGTTCTACCTCTTCTTGATATATGCAAATTCTGGAACCAGGTGTACTTGCCTGAAAGTGAGTTGTGCTTATTTTGTGCAGGGAATGAGAGGTCCTCAGTCAATTCACATTTTACTATTGTGTGGTGAGGGACAGAATTCCAAACTACAACTGCTTGGAAATATTTCACAAGTAGATAATAAGACTGGAATCTAGAGTTGTCCTAACCAGAAGTATCAGGTGAGAAATCCTTCAACAAGTGGCATTTGAGCTGAACATTAAACAAAATTTAGTCCAGGCAAAGGAACAACCCCAGGAATCCTATAGTGGGAAAAACATGGCCATCTTCGAGAAAACAAACCCAGGCATGGAAGCAGGAGGTATAAGAGCTAGACAGAACTGTTTGACCCACTCTCCATGTTGGGTCATCTATGGTCTGCATTAATAACAAGTAGGACCCATAAAATCTCATTAATAACAGACACTGTGCCCCTATGAGCCCTAGAGAGCAGCAGGAAATACAAGAAACTTGCCAACTGGTTCTTGTTAGTCATATTTACATATTTCTGAAACCAACTCAACCACAGCCTTGTAGTTGGGCATAAATCCACCTGGCTACTGAAGATACAGACAGATGAACTTAGAATACTGAATCTGCAGAAGCAGCTCCATGCCAAGAAACATTTAATGACTCTGCCATGTAATAAGTAACACCTAGCCAATATGCATATTATAAGAAAGGAGGTGGGTATTTGGATGAGGGAAACTTTACTATTTACAGTAACATTGAAAATTTCCTTCTTGTTACCAACTAACAGCCATCTAAAAGTAGCAAAGACTCTCTATACACTCTACACTGTGTACAGAGACTCCTCTAAGAACAGTGTAAGTAGTTGGCTTTATTTTCTATTTTTGTCATTTGATCTGATTTAGAGGGCAACAAAAGATCATTTTGAAACAGGCACTTTCTTACTAAAAACTGGAAGTGTCAAACAAGTTCCCCTAAGTAGCATCTTCTCTTATAAAATAATTTCAAACTATTATTTCTTCTAATTCCCGTGTGTCTTGTTCGCTTCTAGCACACACTCAGCACTCTGCTAAAACCAAGAGAAGTGACCTTCTCCAGCAGCTGCATCACCACCACTCCTCTCATGACGACGACATCTTGAGTAGCAGTGAAAATCCTGCAGGACATCAAGAAGGAACCACAGCCTGTCAACTCTGCCTCCAGGATCTTAACTTCATTTTATGGCACTCTAATTCATAACCATAGGTCCCAAACATCTCAGAAATATTTTTGAATACTTCCTAGGGAAATCTTAACATTTTTCTAGAAAATAAAACAGGTTCATTCAATTACAAGCTCTCTACCGTAAATATTAACACAAATAAAAGAAAACACAAGGTGTTTTCCATACATATCCTATTGTGACAGAATGACTTCCCACATGGGCTTATCAAGAAACAGTTCCCTATTTTAGAAACAACTGCACCCAGGCATGGTGGTGCCTGCCTTTAATCTCAGCATTCACGGAGGCAGAAGCAGGAGATCTCTGAGAGTTCTAGGCTAACCTGGTCTACAAAGCAAGCTCAGGATAGCCAGGGCTGCACAGAGAAACCCTGTCTCAAAAAAAACATAAACAAAACACAAAAACAACAAACAAACAAAAACCTGCTTTTCCCACTACCTTCCCAAGGCTTGATGATGAGTGGGTGCTCATGTAGTAACAATTTTTCAGAAGATTATCTTTAAAATGCTTTTGCTAGATGGCAGAGTAATTTGAATAAGAACTGTCCCCACAGGCTTATATATTTTAATGCTTAGTCAACAGATGTATAAGCCAGAACATGCACTGTTTGGAATGGATTAGGAGGTGTGACCTTGTTGGAGGAGGTGTGTCACAGGACTTTGAGATTTCAAATCTCATGTCAGGCTCCTCCTTCCCCTCTACTCCCTTTCTCTGCCTACAGATCAGAATATAAAGCTTTCAGCTACTGCTCTAGTACCATGCCTGTCTGCTTCCTATCATGATGATCATGGACTAACTCTCTAACACTGTAAGCAAGCCCCTAATTTAATGTTTTCTTTCGTAAGAGTTGCCTTGGCTGTAGTGTTTCTTCACAGCAATAGAACAGTAACAGGAACCACATTCTCCATCCTAAAACATGACACCTTCTCCCACATCACAGGAGGACTGGACGGTGCTCATGTTTGTATAAAGGCAGGAGGACAAAGCAGACAACACAACTCAAAACACTCACATTTTTACATTGTTTTTTTTTCCACATTGTTTTTTTTCCATCAGAAAATCTGAAATGCAATCTACAACTATCCTCCAACTCTGTCACATGCTCTTCAATCCTCTGTCCATTTCAACAAGATCATAGTAACTATCAACAAGGTCACTGGGAAGACAGATATAGGCCAAGCTGGAAGAGAATTGAGGTGCCCACTTTTAAATATTGAAGTTCATGTCAACTTTTTATGTGATTTGTTTGTTGTGCTAGGGATCAAACCTAGGACCTCTCACACATTTGGCAAGTGCTCTATATGGCAAGAACCATAAGCCATAGCCTATTATTATCACATAATTTTAAAATAATACAGTCTACCAGAGGTAAAATCCAGAATATAACCTAGAAATCCAGTTTACCAGTATATGTGCTCTTGTTTTAAATGTTTTTAATATACTAAAGAGCACACAAAGTTACCTGTTTCTTGAATGTCCTACATAAAAAGAAAAAAAAAAAAGTAAGTCTGACCTTTCAGAGGGACCCTAACCTTGAAACCATTTACTCTAAGATTACTTCGGTCTTTCTATTGAAGAAATATAATATTTTGATCCTTGGTAATAGGAATAAAAAAGCATGTAGGTCTCAAAGACCCTCTCTTCAGCATATCTCAGGGATCAAGATTTAATTACTCATTCTCTGCGTAGGTATCTGGCTTTAAGACAAATACTGCAACTACTTTAGGGGGGGAAAAACCCTCATTATTACGCATGGATCCTTCTTTCTTAAGATCTTCGCACTTAAGGAAAAACCAGCTGACCAGAAGTTGTAAGACAGAACATGCTAAGTTAGCAGGAAATGTAGGATAGTCGTCCATTCTCTAAAGTTCTGAATTTAAGGAGCAACTTAGTATTCTCTTGGGGAAAGGAACCTATAGCTCCTTCAGTGCCGGCCCTATACTTGGGGAAAGACTTTCAAAACTGTCCTTTGCCCAGGGGCTGGTCGCTCTCAGGGGTGCAAGGCTCACCGAAACGAAAGTAAAACAGAGGCCGGTTCCCAGCTGCACTGGCAGCCCGCTCCCGGGCGGCAGCTTCTCGGATGTCGCACACCCCGATGTGGGCAGAGCGGAAAGGTCTCCTCGGCACGCCTTCACCGGGCTGCAGTCTACACCGAACCACGGCAGCTCCATTCGCTGCTGTAACAAGTTGAAAAAAAACTAATTAATTCAGACTTTAGTTTTTTTTAAATTTGTTACAGCGCTGAGCAGAGCTGCCGACCCCATGCAAAACCAGCACACAGACCATCAAAGGCTCCACTAGGTGCAGATACATACCTTCTGCCCCTAGCCAGTCCTGAACCAGTGAAGGATACAGAAATATCCCAGGAAAGCCAACAACTGCCCTTGTTTCGCTTTTGTTTGGTATGACAAACAAATCAACATCCAATAGCGTCATCAAAGACCCCAATTAACCAAGCAGCCTTCCTCAAAGACAAAGCAGATACCCACAGACACTCAAGTGACCTCGCCTTTATGACAACCACATCAAGGGAGGCTAAGGTGAAGAAATACCTTCCCCAACACTTGCCCTTAAGCTTTTTACCAGCCTATTTACTTTTTCTTCTTACAAATAAAATCATGCTTCTTCTCTTCACAAGCCAGACCACAGGAAAGCAACCCCTCGGCTAATAAATCAACTTCCTTAAAAATCACATGAAAAGATATAAGCAAAACCAAAGTTGCAGAACCACAAGCAGAGCAGACTCTTAATATCACGTTCAGTAGCCATAGAGCCTTTTTCTTTTTCTTTCCTTTTTTTTTTTTTTTTTTTCCCATGTCACTTTTATAACACTGGGGTTATCACAGCCTGGAGAATAGAAATGGGATGTGTACACATGCATTTTAAGCTTTTTAGGTTTTGCTTCATCCACAAAAACTGCAGTTTCAGCTTTCACCTTTAGCATGTGGTGTTACTAGCCTTTTACCTTAAGGAGGGAAATTACTCACATTTGCTTTGAGCAATTCCTAAAGCCTAGCAAATACCAAGGTTACCCTCTAAAAGAAGCAAGTAACACAGGAAATCCATGCTGGAATGCCCATGTAGTTCCACTTTCTTTTTCTTAAACTCTGTACAATCTGTACAGGAACTCTCCAAAGCCATACATGTAACAATAATGGCAGGAAGTGTACCTTGTATTTTGTAAGTATCAGTAATGAGTATTTTATTGTCACCTGTAAAAACACCAAACCTTTACAGTCATACCCTCCTAGTCAGGCTATCACATTTTCTAGTTGTCTCAAACCTTTTATTAATTTAAACCAAAATCAATAGCAATAATTAACTCACCAAGCCAAAAAACATGTTTAAATCACAAATGTTCCTATCTTTATGATTATAGTGTTTTAAAGAAATCAATATATTATTGATCTCTACCTACAGAAGAAATATCTATGAAATTGTATTAGGAATGTTATTTAAAAGTCACGTATGCCTTCAATTTTCACAAAAATCTATGAATAATTACACAAAACAATTGGTTGTGGAGAATACAAGTGTCAAATGTACACTCTTCAGGCAGATTCCAGAGTGAGAGAAAAATCCTCTTTCAAATGTGGTCATTAACTCTTAAAATGAGACAATTTATATTATTCAAGGTTTACATACTTGGAGGCTGGGGAAGGTAGGCGCCAATTAATTTTGACCTCTTCTTTTCATATCCCTTTTGTGTAATGTCACCTGTAAGAGAAGGGAAAAAAGAAAGCATTCAGGATAGTTTCAATGGATAGAGTTGGTCATTTAATGTAGTATGACAAAATATACTAACACTTGTAACTGTCTTTTGTTTGCTTTATGATTAGAGAGTTTTAATGGAACCATTGTGTATCATTTACTGTGACTTTTTCCTTTACCCTCAAAAAAAAAAAAATCATAGCACTCATGGTATATAAAAACTCATTTGCTCAATACATGTTCATCTCTGGCCCCTTCTGGTTGGGTTTCCAACCTAAGAGTCCAAAATTAGATCTGTGCTAACTTTTTCATGTCTACATTGAGGAAGCCTGCTCAATCTTCAGGGGTTCTCATTAACTTAATCAACAATGGACTGCACAACTGCCTGGGCTGGAAAGCTAGCAATGCCATTATAGATAGGCATCACGTTTCACTAATGAGATTTTTTCCCCCCTAATCAGGCATGTCAGTCACAAGGACTTTAAACTGCTAAGCTAATTTTGAAGAAAAAAAAAAAAATAGACCAAAGGATGCATTAGATAAAACCAAGCAAAAGAGCAGGGTACCCACAGAGATTTAAAAGACATTCATTGTTCAAATAAAAATTCAAATGTTAAAGCCAAAGACTCATACACAGAAATCAAAGGAAGTCAGACCTTTCTGAAAGAATTAGGTCACTAAGGCAAAATAACATTTATTAATATTAATAGTCTTTCCTAACTGTAAACTCCAAAACTAATGCTAATTTTGTTCTTTGTTTTTAAAAAGAAAACACACATGCATGTAGACATGTGCACATGTGCATGCACACATACACACATATGTATCACAGACTTTGTCTTTGAATTGGGTGGGTGGGGTATAAAATTGATTTTTGCCCTTTAATTTTTGAAGGTGTTTCAGATTTTTATCCCTTCCTTTCTGACCTACCTCTTCAAAGACCAAAAAAAAAAAAAAAAAAAAAAAAAAAAAGTTTGACCTTCCATGAAAACAAAGCAAAACAAAGAATAATTATTATTATGCATGGAGAAATTAGCTTACTCTAATATGTGCTTTATGTGGCCAAGTGACGCTTCACAGGTTTGAGGGCTAATTCTACTGTTCAAAGTTTATTGTACACATCTGTGTTTAGGTTAAAAACAATCTGTGACCAGGATTTAAATGTGAGCCATAAAGCAGCAGGGAGATATTGAATACATATTCCCTTATCAATTGGTAATGCTAACTATTTTATTTCACCATTATGAATGAAGGAATCGGTATAACTATTAGACAAAGATTAAACAAGCATCATTATCTGGCTATACTTTGCAACCTTAGCCATCAGCTGTGTATCACTAACATTGTTGCATTATTCTTATAAATGCCCCAAAATCTCACCTCCTCACCACCACAACCACTATAGGGTTAAAAATGTCCTGAGAAGAGACACTGGCATTCCTGACTGTGCTAGTAGATTCTTTCCCAGGTCTCTAAATGGTTCTGTCTATTCTCATCTCTGGAGAGCAACCCCACAAACAATTTCCTGTTTGGTTATTCCCAATCCCTATCCAAGGAGGATGACAATTCCAGGCTTTGGGTAACCACAACATAGATAATGATCCACCTTCCATAGGACCTTTGACTAACTCACTTGTCTGTGCTTCATTTGTCTAACACTTATTTACATGTGGCTTATTCTAAAAAAAAAAAACAGTGTTAAGCTTTTGTGAAATAGTCCATGTCTTACAGAACTCAATCTTGACCCCGCTATTTTCCCATTCAAGGACTGTGAGTTGATAAATTTGTTCACACAGTAAGAGACAGTGAGTGAGAAACACCACTGACTATCTCTGACAGAACTGTAATTGGCGGCGGCAGCAGCAGCACAGACAATCAGCACAGACACGGGAGAAGATTAACAGTTTAGTAAATGTGTAGGGCAGAGGGGAAAATCCATACTAACTATTTTATAAAAGTATGTCAGACAACAGATCAATGTGTAGTGCCCCCGCCAAAGTGCCACCATCTGTAGAATAGACTAATCCATGGTCCCAAAGCTTTGGGGCTAAAAATACCACCGTTATTTTCTAAAGCCAGAACTACTTAAGCATCTGATAGCCAGAGGTCCTGCAGATTATGACTAACTCCCCTTGAAAATTTATAGCAATCTTTCCAGTTGAGTTTTTAACATCTTGATGCCTTCTGAAACCAATGATTATTTTACTAATAAAGATACAGATAATCACCTATACTTATGATACATTATAGTAGGTGATAGGCAGATGATAGCTGATATACAAAATAGGTAAATTAACAGATTATTAATAATGACAGATAAAAATAGCAAAGATAGGATGAAGAAACTGGTTGATGGGTAACTGGCAGAGAGAGACTTATCAGTCTGTACATAGTAGATTTTGCAAACATCTTCCTCCCAGACTCCTCCCTGGCTTCTATCCAAGGATTGATCATTGCCAATGCCCAAGTGTCATTATGAAAGCACAGGGCTCTCTGCAAGTACATGTAGTTTTTTATTTTATATCAGTACATGCTAAACAACCAACTAGCTGCCCCCTTTTCTCCTTCTAATACTGGAACTGTGCTACACATACACTCTTCAGGATACAGTCACACAAACTCAGGGCAGAAAGGTTTATTTTCTTTCATTACAAGGCATACCACCCCAGAATTTGGAGAAAGTTGGCTAACATTCCTTTAGCATGCAAACTAAAGCAATATCATTCAAGGTTATTTTGAAAGCCAATTCTAATCAATAGAAGTTTCTTAGACAATAAGGAACTTCACTGATTCTAAATGTGTATTTAAAGAGGTTTCTTTCTTCAAAATGTGGTTCCTCACATTAAGCCTTGGACTACAGAATTACTTGTTTATTTTCCAAAGAAAATCCCAAAGAGCATACTTTCCATGTTTTAATACCCAAGATACTCACTTATTTACAAATAAAGTATGAAAGAAGCCAGTGCAGAAATTTTAACCTCAGCAAGGATAAATTAAAAGTAATCTCTTGTGGTGACACATGCCTTTAATACCAGCAATTTGGAGGCAGAAACGGTCCAATCTCTGAGTTCAAGGCCAGCCTGGTCTACACAGCGAGTTCCAGACCAAGTGATCTCTTGAAACACCATCAATTTCAAGAAAAATGTCCCTTGTTATTCTTAAGTTCTTCAACACAGATTCAAGCAGTATAATTTAAAAAGTAAAATTAAATTAAAGAAAAGAGATTCAGCTGGTCTTGGTGTGCGGGCCTGAAATTCCAGCAACTCAGGAAGCCCAGTCAAGGGGATAACAAGTTCAAACCCAGCCTGCACTATATACTGTAAAGACCTCACGTCAAAATAAAAAGTGAAGCAAAGGTTGGGAATATATCTAGGTAATAAAGTGCCTGCCTAGCAAGTCCCAGTTCAGTACTACAAAAATACAAGGGAAAGATTAATAAGCAAATCATAAATTTACAGAGAAAATTATAAGCAAAAACCACATAAAGTTGAACATTGCTCAGAGAAAAGACGTAATTGCTTTTTCTCCCCACAGAAAGAATCCTCTTATTTTGCAGACTAGTATTTTAGAGAAAATACTCAAGTCAGGAAAGTAACAGTTGGCCTGGCAAATGCAAAAGATAGAGTAACCAAAACGACATGTCATTGTGACCACAGGCACACTTACACACTTTGATCCTATGGAATTGGTACAGAGGCAACCTAATAGTTGCCTGGCTCTAGGACAGACATGAAACCTTGAAGGGCCTCTTGGTCCTCGAGGATAAAACATGTAACACTGAGCTACTTTCAGGGCTGGAATTAGTTTTGAGTAAACACATGAGTTTAACAGTGATCATTTCCATTCTTGGTGTTGGGAGTTTATTTTATTATTTAATGCTGGAATGAATGCTTTATATAACAAAGGCATCATTTCCATGTTTGGAATTTTATGATTGCCAGAGCCTTCCTAAGGCTCCTCTCTTTAGTCAAGTACTTTATACAGCTTTGGGGGCACAACGGCTCCAAACCTCTTGTACAAATGTGTGCTTTTAGCTCTGTGATAAGCTTTTCTCCAGAATCAAATTACCACTTATGACAACTTCTGCATGCATTAATCACCTACACTGGCAGCAGAAGCAGGAGGACCTGGGACTTCTTCTCACCCAAAGCAACCTGAGCTCAACCTAAGCTATTTGGTAGACCACCTAGTGTCTTTTAGTTCTTACTAATAAAACAGAGGTGATACCCCTCAACTTCCTATCAGTGTTAGAAATAGCATGCACAAAATCTCAATATAGGGGCCAAGGAGATGACGCAAAGATTGAAATATCTGCCATGCAAGCATGAAGACCTAAGTTTGGATCCCCAGAAGTCACAAACATCCAGCTACAGATCACCCATTTATAATCTCAGTATTCCCATGCTTAGGTAAGACACAGAAACAGGAAATCTCCAGAACCCCACAGGAAGCCAATTTGCCTGGCATAGGTAGCAATAAACAAGACAGAACCTGTCTTAAACAAAACGGAAGTCCAGGATGCTGTACTCAAATCCACATGTCTGCATTGGTACATGCACACATTTGCACTCACTCACATAAATAGGCACATATACACACATAGTTGTTAGCTATGACATATTCAAACTTATGACTGACTTTATAATAAAATAGGAAAACATGTGCCAGGTACACTAGCAAGTACCAAAATAAAGACTATATTGGTGACAGGAACAACTCCTTCAGGGTATAGAGGACAATGAAAAGCTACCTGAACACTAGGAATTCTAAAGAAAGTTAGAATACTGTTTGGTGATCCTGCCATCCCTAGGTGCTGCTCCTTGCTTGCCTTGTCCAGCAGTCTGTCGTCCTTACAGATCTACTGCCTGCAGGCTTTCTGATACATCCCCATTCAGACAGATCTCTTTCAAAAATGTAAATTAAAACAGTCTGTCCTGCTTACAAATTTGGCACCTGCAGGCTTCCCCTGTGTATCTCTCTCTACTCAGCCAAGAGATCTGTTTCAA